ACGGCGATAAATTACAATCTTAAACTACTCTAATTATTTAAAGAGTATTTAATACATTAACAAAAAATAAGTTACCTACATTCTGAATTAAGAAATTGCTTTCCATCCTAATACTTCCAAGTGTCCCAGATTAAGAGTGCGTTAAAAGAATGATTTTTTTTATAACCATCTTCTACACATGTAATAAAATTCTAACTGAGTCCAATCTGTACATTCAATATTTTTTTGAATATCTTGTTGAAATAGTCATTATTATCAATACAGAGACCGAATCTATAGTTTTTAGAATTTTTGTCTGTCTGTTTGTCTGTCTGGGAACGCATCACGAGAAAACCGCTGGACAGATTTTGATGAAATTTGGTATGATGATAGCTAGTTATCCAGCTCAACATATACGATACTTTTTACTACGAGAAATATCTCTTCTCTGAGAAATCTATACTAAACGTTAAAACGCAACTAGGGATGAACCCAAGCGGAGCGACGGTGAGTCGCTAGTCTTTTATAACAATCTTTCATAGAACAAATTTCAATTAATTTATACGGTGTATGGCAATATCATATTATATTATACAATTCTCTAAAGTATTACATTTCAGAGGCAAACAGGGCATAACTGACATAAACACCGGTCAAGCGCGAACCTACGCGAACAATTTCATTTCCGATTTCGTAATTTCTTTTAAATATATATTGATAATAACACTATGTATTACAAACAAACGTTTAGTACGTACAAATTACAGTATATTACGTATATTAATTTAATTGCAATCAACCCGTTTTTCTTTACAAAATAAATAATTTAACAAATATTGATAAGATTGTTGTTGAAGTCACCTAACGTTAGGAGTTCATAAAATTAGGATTTATTTGAAATACATTAATTTATCTACATGTTTTTCTATTCATAGAAATATAAAGCTGTATAATATTCAGAAAGGTATAAGTTTGATTAGTACCTACGCGCTAAATTTCTGTAATCGTAGTAAACATCAACATTAAGAATTCAATTGCTTAAAATTATGAATATTATAATTAATTACTTTAAGTCAATTAAAATGCTTATTTCATGTATATCCTTCCTACAAAATTATAATGTAACGGTTAGTATGAGATAGATAGAGTATTATATATATATATATATATATATATATATATATATATATATATATATATATACATAGTTATAATAAGCCACAAGGCTTGTATTATAACGTGTTTTCATGTGGGAATGAGATAATCTTTCGCGGTATAAAGTAGCCTATGTCACTCTCTAGCCCTCCAACTATTTCCACACAAAAATCACGCCAATACCTCACTTTGTTTCGACGTGAAAGAAGGACGAACAAACAAACAGCTACTTGCTACTTTCACATTTATAAAGTACAAGAGTATGGATAACAGAATTATTTTATGACAATTGTTGAAGTATCAGAGAATTAACTTTATTATTAAATTGTGGGATGACCATTTTGTAAAAGATCGGCGTATTTTTATATGTATTACTATAATTAATCTAATATTAAAATTAATACCTACATCCTTAACTACAGAATTCGTGTCTTTTCATTAAAAAACGGATGAAAACATAGCTATAAATATAAGTGGCTTTAATCGTACACAGCATAAAACCTATTGCCCTACAACAAGGGCTACATGTACATTAAAGTTTGCAATTAAAATGCGACTCACGTCGTGGGTCGTCGTTTCGTCTAAAGAGGATTCAGAAGGTTAATGTTCATTTGCGAAACTTTACACATTTGCTTTATATAAAGTGCATTTATCTGTACTGTTAAATTTTTGCTATGTAGAAATTTTTTTTTTCAAAAATAACTCTAAGGTACTTTAGATGACAAAATGGTCTCCAAACCAGTTTATAATATTAATAATTTTATCTACTTGTTTGTCCGATGTAGTCAATAAAAGAATCATTAGGTATAGAAATACGGCCAAAGAGGTGAAGAACATGCAAACAAATAGACATAGGTACAAACATTTTTAAGGGGTTATGACTTTCGTGACAAATAATTACTCCAAGTAAGTCGGTTATTCTTAATCGATTTCGGCCACGGCACGATTAGCCATCTGCACAGAAGATATAGTATTCTCCGAAGCATGGGGTGTAACAACGCATCTTACCTGACTGGTTGTCACTGAGAATTACTTGATAGGAAATTTTAATAACTATTGCGTGGCTCGACACGGGACTTGAACTCAGGACTTCGGGGTCTGTAGCAGTAAATGCTAGCCACTAAACCAATGCGGCAGTAAATATGCCACTCCAAATTTGAAGGGTGTCAACATATTGACTAAAATAGACATGACTTTGTTCAAAGGGATTCAAGGTACCCATGGTAACATAAGAACAAAATATAATATGAACTTAATATGATGGAATCCCAAGGTTTACAACTTCGTGCTGATCGGTTAGATTGTAAATATTAATTTATTCTTCGAGTATCTATGTCTTAAAAACACTATATGTAATCTTTCATTTTAATATTGTATAATAAAACAACTTTATAAAATTAACATTCATTGACAAATTATAAACAACGCATAGCTTACTGTAAAGGTCTAAAATTATGGACCAGAAGACTCTTTATAACATGGTATACGTCCCCTAAAAAGAACGCTGGCTGTTTACCTGCGCACTGAGCAATTTATCGATAAAATTGGTGGTATAAAGGGGATACAACCGGGGATTACACATTATGACTCTACAATAAAACAATTACTCTTAAAACAATAGCCTAATACTTTAGGACGCGACTGCACCCGTGCGCAGACACATCTCTTCCACTATCGCTATTAGTAGATAAATTCATAAAAATAAATCCTCTAAATATTAATTAAATAGCGTCTTAAAGTTTGTATTAATCGATTTGTTTTTGTTATAATTGATTTTTAATAATAGATTATCTAAATATTAAAAATCGATTTTTAATGATTCGGTTATATTATTTACTCTTTTTTTTAAGTAAAAAAGATATGATATGCGTTGTTGGATTAAACCAATGTAGCCAAACTACACATTTTATCGTTTTGTTTTAAATACATTTCAATAAAATGTTAAATAATACTAAAAATTAGTAGCTATAATGTTATTCAGTTTCCTCATTATTTAAGTTGAAAAAAAAACTTGGTTTGTTCTTCATTTTAAAAACCAACAGATTGTTGTTTTAGTTATCGACTTGGTAATTTTATTATTATGTACAAAAAATGCAACTTTACGAATAGTTCGATAAAATCGATTATTTTTTTAATTAATCGATTTTTTTACAAATAGATTTATTTTAAAGACAGAAAAATCGATTATTTAGTAATTTTTTTCCCTCCAAGTCACATCTCTATTTCATGATGATCCATCCACCATCAGCCGCTTTACCAAAAAATGACAAGCAATTTTAAGATGTACTGGAATCAATCGGTTATATAAAAAATTATATCACAAGGGTTTAAAAATGAAATTTTATAATTTCCAATGAAACACTAAGTGTAACAGATTCTTAGAACTAAGACATAAAACTCTATTTACTAAGTTTAAAAGTTAATTAATGCACTATTACATCTCAGATTAAAGAACATACTTGACAGAACAAACGTTTGTTCTGTATTCTGAGATTACATATACAAAACACATTTTATTATATGATAGGTAGAAAAAGCTTGCACTCATCTGTCGTTTCATATGCAATTGAAAGTTGTCATTAGGCTTATCGCAAAAATCTCCACTTGTATGCGATTATTTGCATCCTGATATTATAAATCATTACTCATCTGCCTTTCTATCCTCTTATAATTGCAAAATCTGCTTTATGTCATACACATTAAGACATATTGCTAGAAATTGTAGCATTAATATGCGAACATCTATAAAAACGCATTTAAGTAGATCCTATTGTGCTGGTATAAGGTTCAATTTCCTTTGTTTAGTTTTGCAACGTAACGCATCTGGAAGTATAGCGGATGCAGTACAGTCTGCCACGCTTTCCTGTCTTTGAAGCGCCCGATGTTTTTTGTTCCAACTGCGCTAGACATACTAACGTTAGAATTGTTTATGATCACTCGGATTAGATCCATATATGGATATTAATAAAAAGATTTCCGTTACAAAAACTAACCATCCTTAACTATTGGTCTAGATAACAAATATTTTATGTATGTTTATACATATTACATATATTTATACCATAAACTATTTGAATGTAGCCATGTAACGTTGCCTACTAGGTACAAGGTACAGAATCGATGCCGACAAAAAAGTATGGAAGCTTGTCATTGAAAAAATGCGCCATAGGATATTTTCATATATTTTTGTTTAGTACCTCCACGAACGCGGACACGCCGGCGTGTCAGTTAACAATAAATTTCTTAGAATTTTAATTGATTTCTTAGAAATTTACCTGGAGGTGTTAATGTTTCTTCCACATAGCAGTTGAAAAATGTTATATGGGTAACATTAGGTACATAATTTTTTTTTAACACGAAAACTTTTTTTAACATTCAGTAACATGTTAACTAATGTTAGATGTCATATTCAATTTCATAGCTTCCACACTGATAAAACATGTTGTAGAACATTTCCTAACATTTTATAACCATTCTGCAAACCCCGCTGTCGCCCGGGTTTTATGTTTTCTAAGAAAAGTTACATATTGTTATATTTTGCTTCAAATTGTTTTTAAGACATTTAGTAAAAAGAAAATATTTAATAACTTTTGTTGCAAAATGGTTTTTTTGCGATAAAATTTTCACTAACAAATGTTTACTAACATTTTTAACTCCTGTGTGGAAGCACCTTATGGCTAACAGACAGGTGCCGCGCTATATCATTTTTACATCTGTAATATTAATATGAATAACAATTTCGCACCAGGCAATTCCAGAACCCTTTAAAATAAATTCAGTACAGAAGTTAACGGCAATGGTATAAACTAACTTTTTTTTTCAGAAAATTGGAAAATTAATCTAATTTTCTATTATGTTTGTTTCAGGCGCAAAGAATGGAGTGCGGAACCATAGACTTTGGAAGAAAGCGTGGTGACCAGGTGAGGCGTCATACTTCATTATTATTATATACTTTTTTAAGTTTATACGAATACATATACCTATGTACTACATACATAACTTACTAATTGTTACTAATATTGAAGTTTATTTGTTACTTTGTTATTCTTTCATAGAGCAAGGGAGTTACTTTAGTTTTATCATAATACTTTTCCATATACCTAGTATTATACTACATTAAAAGAGTAAATCGACTGCAAATCACTTCAAAAAAGTATTCCTCTAGAAGTGGATTTTTTATTGTTTAAATTTTAGACTAAAGATATTTATCTATAATCGCCTTGAAACTTAATAAGTCTAAAATCATTCCGAGTAGCATGAGCTTAGACAGTCTGAAAGGTTTTTTAATAAATATGCTACAAAATGCGAAAAGAATATTTCAAATCGGACAGTTAATTCAAGAGATTAACACGTTTTAACGATAAAAACAGTCTTAAGCTTTGTAATATTAGTATAAATTATATTCTATACAAATGCAAATCATTAGCGATATGTATAATAGAAATAACCCTTTATGTAATGAATAGTTACATAAAATACTGTCTAATGATATATTGATAGTTTTCTCTCGTAACATTTGTCAACTACATTTTAATTTGTTGGATCACATTATTTTTTCCCATTACTCATATTTATTTGGCATGTTAAAAATAATTTAGTAATATCTTATAGAGTTTGCATTTGTATAAAAAATTATGAAGCCGGTTCAAAACCTGGGTCTCGTCTCGTATATTTGATATTTTTACGTATCTATAAGCTATTATGATTATCACTTACTAATGCGGTGAAAAAATACCGTGAGAAACCTCGGTGTTTGAGAGAGCCTAACTAGTCTTTAGGAGACGTGAAGTGTGCCAACCCGGATTAGGATAGAGTGGTCTGGTCCCATTCATACCCATTAAGGACCGATCCACACTATAGTACCTACGTATCACGGTTTATTTTCAGTCTGATATCGATCTGTCAAACTTTTTTTTTGCAAGAAACAATGACAGCATTCACACTATCAGTAAGAGTCAAGTTCCGGTCATATCACATTACATCGTTTGTTGTAAAAAAATACTTTACCAAGCTGATATCGGCACTATAGTGTGGATCGGGCCTTAAAGGTAGGCTAATACCCACCAGTGGTACGTTACAATTCCCATATTTTGCTAAAAGTCTAAAGTAGTTTTCTCGCCTAATTTCATTTTTGTTTATATAAAAATGTTTACCTAAGTTAGAAAGTAAATAGTATAAATATATTACATTTTTAAATAGATCAAATAAAATATACGGAAAATAAATTATATAGGTTACGATTAATATAAGACTTATTCAAGAAATGAATTTTTGCATCTCGCGTTCTTCGACAGTTACGTAAAAGATCTTTATAAATGTAACCTTTAAATGAACTTATGAATGAATGCTTTCTTTTTAACGAATGAAATAATTTCCCTTAATAATTTATTTAATTTTGGCAGGAGTTTTGGTGCAAACACTGTGACACGAGAATTTTATGTATTAGATATACATTTTTCTATGCATAATTAGTAGATTAGGCTAACAAGTAGGTAGTTATTGCTCAGCGACAGCCACTATTTGCATATCTTGATTAAATGGGAGTATATTAATAGAACTAAGCATCACCTTACAACCATTAATGTGTAACCTTTTGTGCGTGAAGTACATATTATTTATAATTCTAACGATGCTTTTGGCGTTTTGACTTGAGTATTAAAGTGTTTTTGATAATAATTATTACACTGATTACATCAGACGGCTTTGTTTTGTAAATCTCAAATATCCATACTAATATTATAAACTGTTTTTGTTTGTTTGTCTTTCTTTCACGTCTAAACGGAGTGACGGATTGGCGTGATTTTTTGTGTGGAGATAGTTGGAGGGCTGGAGAGTAACATAGGCTACTTTTTACCGCGGGATGTTATCTAATTCCCACGGGAATACATACACATTATAAATTATAATACAATCCAAAAAAATATTTATAATCGGAATTACTTGAAACTTAACATTAATGATCTTCAATAAAATTAAATAAATACGTGTTGTAGCATTTTTCAAAATTCATCCTATAAGGCGGTAAAATAGGGGATAAAAGTTTGTATGAACCTATTTATAGAATTTTGTAGTTTTAGAGCGAGCGAAGCCGCGGGTTCTGCTAGTACTGTTATATTTTTAAGTCGAAAAGGCAGTTAAACTCCAGTTGAAATGTCAAAGCCTTTTGACATTTCAAATGACAATACTCTTTCACTTTCTCTGCCTTGACAGCTGCCAAATTATGCAACCGAATAATTGATACTGGCCACCTGCCATAAAGGTGTATCGCACAAAGCAAGCAGATGTATTGTATCCGTTTTTACTGGAACAAGTGTTTTTAATTGATGAATTAAAGTAATTATAAATGGCTAAAATAGTTTCTCTTTATTTTTATACATCAATAAAATCAATTATTCTTAATTTCTACAATGTCGATCGTCATCAATATCATTTTTAAAATTGATAAAAATAAACATCGCAGTATCTACTTTCCTATAATTTATGTTCGAAATATCGGACAGCCGAATCCATTCTATTCGATTGTAGTAATCGAGTGGTTTGTGTAACGGTTCCGCTCTACGCACGACTTCGATATATTATTTTGAGAAATAGTCGCTTTGTGGTCACAAACAGATTCTTATATTGTATAGTCTCTAATTAATAAATTATACCGCTTCACTACATAGTATAAAACAAAGTCGCTTCCCGCTGTCTGTCTGTCCTTATGTATGCTTACTAATACTAATCTTTAAAACGACGCAACGGATTTAGATGCGGTTTTTTTAATAGATAGAATGATTCAAGAGGAAGGTTTTATTTGTATAAAACATGCATATTATAGTACAGAATAACCGAGAAATTCAAAGATTTCTATTTCATACTAACAGTTAAAACGTACCCAGAAACGAACCCGAGCGAAGCGAGAGTGAGTCGCTAGTTCATTTATAATGCCCTGGGGTCGAATCCTTTACTTTAGTAAAGGGTTAAAGGTTTTTAAAGGGTTTTCTGATAGTTTTCAGTAAAAGCTTACATTTATCAAGTAGATTATGTTATATTGCTGTGCTTCATAGAGTATTTTAAGTCCTTGGTATTTCTGATGTCTGAATTAATTTTTTCTCACTTCTGTGGCTACGATTGTTTTTGATAATAATATCGTCTTGTATGTGACAAATATAATAATTATGTAGAACTCAAAGCTATCTTTACAGAAATCTAGGATTGCGCCTTTCTATTTTTCTTAAAACGAAGGAAAAAGCATTTCTTTAACTAATTACGGACATTTTTAACATTAAAAAATATCTATTAGTTGTCACATTATACATTTTGTTTATACCTAATACATATGTACATAATAGATAAGTATTTTGCTTATAAGAGTATATTATGCTTATTTATGTAAGTACATATTTTGTATCCGTATTATTTTACCTTTTAGGTAAGATATATCTCTTCTTGCGCTATATTAACTACTATATAACACTACACTTCCCTCAAGTGATTGGAAGAGATCTCACCTAAATGTTTCTCATTTTTTTTAAAAGAGAGATATCTAAAATATTTTATAAGAAAATTTGTATCTATATATGTCACTTAGACTGTGCTTAGTGGTTTATATATTTTTTGTTATTTTACTAAATTGTAAAAACTTCAAAACAAGTTTTGATATTCTTAAAATTTCAGTTATTTTTATTCGCTTTCATAAGCAATGTCATATAGCATCTCGTAAATAATTCACACTTAATGAATGCCAATATTTGTTGCAAACGTTTACTAACAATATTACCACACAGCCTTACAGTGTTCGTTTAGTGAACATTTCAGTTTGATACTATTTTAAATAAAACTATCTTTTCGGATTTTTTCGCGGATTTATTTGGATTTTTGAAAAATACAAAATTATAAAAATGTTTAAAGTTAAAAAATATTGTAAGAAAATTGGTGCAATTTTCATTTTGTTATTTGTGGATAGGCTGTCTGTAACAACTATACCTTCGAGACATCTAACACCTCAGTCTCTACCGTGACCATGAATGCTGTAAAGCATTCGAAACGTCGGGAACCAAAAATCCAAATAAATCCGCGAAATAATCCGAAAAGATAGTCTTATTTAAAATGTTAAATATTCGCGTAAATCTAAGAAAGTATTATGTGAATCGATACTATTTCGTATGATTTCACGTTTATCTTAGGATTCTTACATTGAAATTAGGTGCTGTACTAGACGTAAATATTGTAAATGCTAATTAGTTTTGTCCTAAATATCACTTGACATATATTAACACTAGCGATTAACTCCCACTTCGCTCGGGTTCGTCACTAGTGGAAAACAAATACAAACCTATCCCACGGGAACCGTACACTTTTCCGGGATAAAATGTAGCCTCTGTGTTATTGCAGACTATATTCCGTGCCAAATTTCATCCAGATCTGTTCAGTCATTCTGGCGTGATTGAGTAACAAACATTTATCCATACAAACTTTCGCATTTCACGGCTCACCCTTGCTCCGTTTGGGTTTGTCCCAAGCAACATTTTAAAGGTTAGTATTAGATTTCTCAGAGATGAGATATTTTCTCGCAGTAAAAATTATCCTACATATATGTTGACCCGGTTAACCAGCTAAAACCATACCGATCAAAATTCGATGCGTTCCCAGAAGGCAGACAGACAGACAGACGTAAACTTTAAAAACTATAGATTCGGTCGCTGTATCCATAATAAATACTATTTCAACAATATTTTCCAAAAAATATAAATTTTATTATATGTATAGATTAAATTACTATTTTACTAATAAATTCTAAGTTACTGTATTCTATATAGAAAATTAATAAAGCAAGAGAAATCTGGTTATGGTGGTGAAGGCTCTATTCTCACGACAGTTCCATGAAACGTTTACCGTTTATATCTAAGGATGGGTACATACTGATATTGAATTTTAT